AAAGTATCACCACATTTTGAAATGGTAAAATTGGAGATAATCACTATACATGATTTATCCAGGTCTTTAACATTTTCGTTTGTCATTTAATAATCACGTAACCAACACTTTTCATTCAAATCAACTTGCACTGCACTAATAGCAAGAGAGTCCCCTTGGAGCAACCTGAGGTAAAGTGCCATCACTCAAGGGCACAATGATGATAGAAGAGCTCAGTTTTTCCCCAGTTCATGACCTCTGTGTGAAATTAAGCTTGCCACAACCATTTGGCACTAATAAAGGTTTATACACAAAACTTTGATCCAGATCCTGTCCTAAATGTCTTTCAAAACATATTGTCTAGCATAACACTCTAACCTATATTTCAGGCTTAGGTCTTGAGGGGCTTGTTGTGGAAAGTACAAAAGTAAATCACCAACACTAACAAACTAATCTTACAGAGGGAATAGATCAATAGTTACAGTGTTAGAAAATAGGGGTGGAATGGTTCAACTTACTCACAGTTCGATTTGTATCACGGTTTTAGAGTTACAGTTTCAGTACGGTTCGGTATGTGCTATGTTTAGGCAAAAACTATACTGTCAAATAAAAATAAAGAAAATAAGAATATTCTATCTAACTACAAGCAACAACACAAATACATACAATAGAGTAAAGATACAAATAAAATAAACAGTGATTTCCAGGTTTTTTTAGGTAGGTCTAACATTAGTTTTTAGGTACAGAAGTTGAATAAAGTAATGAAATGTAAAACAGCATTGCATATTTGACTGTATAAATGAAATATTAATCGTTATTAAAGTTACAAAAGCTATTCAAGAGCAGTGAGTGATTTCTTTGTTGTTGCTGTTTGATTAATATTAAGAAAGTGCTGTCACTTTAAGAGAATGCACTGATCCAGTGCACTGATACAGTATGTTCAGCCGGCTATGTCTGCTATAGGAGGATACTTACCAAGACGGGCATTTGACATAATTTTTGTGTGAATTTGTCCATTCAAACTAGGGTGACCATACGTGCCATTTTTCCCGGACACGTCCTGGCCAGGATTTCTATATTGCCTAAAATATCTAGGTTTTGGCTTTGTTTGCATGTGTACATCGGTGTATGACATCAATTTAAAGTAGTTAAACTGCAGTTTAAAAAGTAGTTATCTAAACTACAAGCTACTAACATAAGTAGTTTATGACACTGAAGCTATTTAAGGGGGCAATATCTTATGACTTAAAATACAATTCAACCAAATACTTTTTTTTTTCAGCTATTAATTTTGAACAGCTTTGAACTTGCACTAAATAATATTTGATTTATAATGAGTCTCAAACCAAGTAAAAGAGCAGAATTTAATAAATGTTTCATGATTAAAAAAAACAACAATTATAATGCCATGCAGGGACTACTGCTCTGTTAATTTTTTAAATGGGATAATTTACATGAACTGTCTGAAAACTCTTTCATTAGAATTAAATGGATTTTCCAATTCCACAGAAAGAGAGAACAGTTTAAGAAAGCATTTGGTTATTCATTCAGCTCGTGCAGTTTTTAAGATTTTTAAACCAGAGATTCAGTCTTTTGTTGTGGCACACCACTACTTGCTTGTAAACTAGCGTGTTGCTGGAGCATTTTGAAAGCAGTACTCATAACTACTTTTAGCTATTTACTCTACAGTACAGATTTCCATTCTGAGAATCCCTAAGGGGTAAAAACATCCATTATTAATCCAATATGTAAAACAAGGCGCAGAACTGGAACCCTTGTAGAACAAAATGAGACGCTGCTCGTATTCAGACTGGAGTTAGTGACTCGGTCATGAGTGAAAACAATGGAGTTCATGCACCATTGAATATCAACTTATTGGGTTACAAATGACTCAAAATCACATTAGCAGGGTAACATGCAATGTAAGAAACCAAATCTGATCTCACATCTGACTGGTAAAGACACATGGAAGGCAGACATATGACTGATTCTCTCCCTAATAGCTGTATTTCATATCGCTGCAGCTTGGAAAGAGAAATTCACAATCCTGACTCCAGTGACATCAATCTCAAACAATCTCAGCCCTCCACTGTGACTCAGAGCTGGAGAAACTCGACGCGTCACCGTGTAATCTCCTGCCTCTGAAAACGGCAGATGAGGGATCTTGTAACGTTTGAAGCTGTAAGATTTTGGTTGGTTTAAGGCTGATAAGAGATGCTTGAAGATAATTTACAGGCTGGGATTGCTTGCGTCACGGTACAGACAGCGTCAGTGGTTGACCGATGTGAGTTTAAGCCCATGGCAATTCTAGTAATTTTCTTTAAAGAGGGGGCCCATGAGGGGCCAAAATATATTATCTGTAAACATGAGTCAACAATTCTGAAATGTGGGTTCAAAACCTCATGCTTTCAAGTGTTTTATGAAAGAAAACTTCTAAAAGCCATAAAACTTTATTTACCCTGAGGACATTTTGTTTTTAATCTGAACTGAGTCAGATTTAATGTTTAATGCACTTCATGATGTTTTATAACAATAAATGGAATGTTTTCTTATTCTTTGCATTTTTATGTCGATATGGTACAAGATTATCCTATTTAATCAATGTGAAAAACGATAGGTCAAAAGTAATCTGATTACATTAGCTAAAATACATATATGTAAAGGATTGCGCTACTAACTAGGGCTGCACGATTAATCGAACGCGATTAATCGCGATTGTCATGCACATTTTGTCAGTAAAGCCGGTTCTGTGATTCGTAGTAAATCTCCATCACCTGCTTTCAGGTGGAGCAGCATTTACTACACACAGCCGTAGTTCACTGACAAGTTACACAAAAAAATCACAGACGATTTTATTGCGTGATTATGAAATCGAAGAAATTGTTCGCTAGGGTGACCAAATCGTTCACTAGGGTGACCATACGTGCCATTTTTCCCGGACGCGTCCTGGCCAGGATTTCTATATTGCCTAAAATATCTAGGTTTTGTCTTTGTTTGCGTGTGTACATCGGTGTATGACATCAAAATACCATACAGACGGTTCCTTATGCTTTCAAAATGCTCTCGAGGTATTTTGATGTCAAACACTGATCGATCTGAACCGCGCTGCTTTTAAGTCGAACACACATCCTATGTACGCGTAATTGCATCGCTTTGACCGTAGATCCCACCTTCTCACACACACCATGATTGGTCCATTATGTACAATGCCTGCATGTTATTGGTCAAACTACTTTTCGATCATTACCTTCAGCAAGCATGAAAACAGGAAAACAAAGCCAAAACAAATCCTGGCAAGGACGCGTCCAGGAAAAATGGCACATATGGTCACCCTAATTCAAACACAATACTTAAGAGAGAGCTTAGTATTTGCGCGCGTTCTGAGGCACGGCTTTGCGCGCTTCAGATGAGCGCACGTACAAGTCTTCTCGCGACCTCTGGCTCTTAAAGCGAGACACTGCAGGTAAATAGGGTAAAAAAAATAACCGCCTTACTTACCCAGCTGATTGATTACACTTATAATTGCAAAAAAAAAATCGTATTACAAGTTTTCTAAAATGTTAGGTTTAAATATGCAAACGAGTCATTATTTAATGAAATATGCGTTAATTTGCATACATTTCTAGTACAAAATCCTAAACACCGGATTATGTCAGTTTCAAAATTCTTGTTTACTTTTTTTGAGATATTAGAGTCAAAAGTTTTTACAGAGGGAATTTAGGGTATCTCATTTTTGTCATTCCATAATTCAGAAAATGCTTAGAACGGACAGAAAACACTATATTTTCACAATTTTGGGGGAATAAAATGTTGCATATAATCGAGCAAATTATATATGAACAAATCCCTCTGTAAAAACCTTCAGGATATAGACAGGAATAAAAATGTAAAGTTTGGTGTGTGTAAATGCTACTGAAGTGGAGATTTATAGCTCAGTGTAGGAGACAAAAACTCATTTTGAGAAAACAGCCTTTAAAAATATGCATTGTAATTGAAATCTATTGACACAAATAGATAAAGTGCTATAAAAGAAACACTTAAAAGTGCCTTTTGGATGTTTTCTTTCCACTAGTCTGAAAAAAAAACACTTTTTTCAAAAAGCCCAAAATCTCAAATTTGACAGGTGCCTTAAAAAAACTGTGTTTTTGCCTGCAGTGTCTCCCCTTAAACGTTTAAACTGGCAAGACTTAAATGAGTTTAGTTTAAACAGAAATCAACGTGTGCTGTTCAGGTCACACCTGTGCGCACGCACTATCAGCACCCGGATGATGACGGAATAAATGCTCATATTCCAGAATGCGGCATTCACATTGAACAAGAGTGAATGGTTTGTCCACGTTTTTTTTTTTTTTCATCGCTATTGTTGTAATGTATTGGGAAGCCAGAATGAGCATCCATCAACAGAAACATACATTAGCCGAACCCTGTTTGTTTTACATGTTATTTATAGCAAACCATACTACAGATGCGTTGTCAGATTTAAGTTGAACCACGGTCCTAGCGCGTGCCGAACCGTGTGTGGAGAACCGTACAGTTCGATTTTTTTCCGTGAACCGTTCCACCCCTATTAGAACTATTAGAAAGAGGGGGCAATTACCATCATGGAAAACCAGGAAATCATAATCAAACATTATTTTGAAAGCTTTGAAAGCAGGTATAATCATACCCTTGGAATATGCTTGCAAAATGTAATTAAATCAATTATTCACATAGTCATATAGCATGGTACTTTAAAGAATGGTGTGGCATTACAGAGGTACCATGTCTAAATCATGTTGGTATATACCATTTTTAAACTTTTTTTTTTTTACTTTTTAAAAAGGGTAGACAAAGGGGACATCGAACAGAGTCTCTTCTTGGTTGGGTATGCAACGTATTGGTTGGGTATGTAATATGTAGTAAATATCGCTTTGTATAAATAATATGTACCTCGGACAGACTGACTTTTACTGTGCTGTATCAGTACTAAAGGAAATTTGCAGTGATCTGATCAAACGACAATCAGCTTTCAAACTCTGAAACTAAAAACAAATGTGACAGATGCACTGATAAACTGAAAAAGAGGCACATAATGTCAAGAAACATCATAGACAATTAGCAGATTAAGTTTGCAGATTTGATTATGACAACGAAATCTTCCTGTACTTTAGATTTGTATTTCTCCTCAGTGTAAAATATGTATGACAGGCTGTACTGTATTCTTCAGTTGTTCAGGAAAAATGCAGGGCGACAACACTAGAATTAACTTAAAAAAGTAAAAACGACAACAAAAGAAAAGAAAAATAACCTACAAAAATTCATTACATTTGCATTTCTTTTTTTTTTTTTCATTTCACCTGCTAAATTATGTAGTCCTGTCTCATGGGAACGTTTGGTCCAATGTGATGCACATCCACTTAGCTGAAGAAAATCCTCTTGGCAAACTGCAGTGCACAGTCGGATAAATTCTCTCTTTTATTCCCCCTGCTTTTCTGAGATACCCCCATATCCCTTGTTCTTGGGTATTTATTCATATCTGCTTTAATATTTGAAGGCAACTGGAGATATCCTTCGTCCAACTCTTAATAAACAGGACCAGCCCTGGCCTCGGCTCCTTGCCTAGCTCGGACACAAAACTTTGAACTTCTTTGTGATCAAATGATAAGAAGGACAATATTGACATGGAAAAATCATGCATTACACAGTCATGGTCACTGCTGAGGTGTCTTTTTATTACAACCATTTGAGTCCTTCTTGAGGTCATATGATGCAGCAAGTTCATATCCTTTTCACCAGACGAGTTCGGAGAATGGGTTGTTTTTTGTTCTTTTTTGGCGGAGCTAATCCGATATCCCTGTCAGACTGTACTTTCCATAACCCACTCAGAGCTATCAAACGGTGCCTTATCCCCTTCCCCCTCACTCTCGTCGCACTGCAGGAGCATACCGTTGACCGAGAGACTCCTCTTAGTCCAAATGTTGCTGATGCGTCGTGGGTAACTAAGGCACTGTGAAGCACCAAAGTCGCCCATGTCGAACGAGTGGCTGCGCTTGGGCTTGTTCTCTGATGGCAGCATTACAAGCTTCCCAAGCTTGGAATCTCCCTGGCCTAGCAGAGGTTCCTTGTCAGTGGGCGGTCTCATGCCCATCGCCATGGTCCCTGAAGAAAATGGTCCTACCGGATCTCTTGCGGGAACCCTCAGGTCCAGAGAAGCAAATGCCCCAAGCAGGTTATCCAGGTTTGGTCGTGCCTTAGTTGACGATTGCTTCCACCTGTTGGGCAAGGTGTTAGAATCCACATGTCGATTGTAAGACTCGACTTTCTCACTTCCAAGGGAGTCAGCCGAGGAGGATGAAGAGGACGAGATGCTACTCTGCAAGGAGCCACACTTAAACTCCACCACTTCATCTCGCATCACCACTACAGTCTTTGGAGCCTGCGGTGTAGGAGCGCCACCGTTGTTTAGTCGCTGTGTAGCCTGTGGTCTCCCATTGGTCTGGGAGTAGGTATTGCTCACCGTCACCAACTTTGCAACCTGCAAGCCACTGTTTACTTTATAGCGTACCATAAGGATGACGATAAAGACCAACAAAGTGGCTACGATCACTCCACCAATCACCAAGATCATGGTTCCTCCTAAAAACTGACTGTGCAGTGACTGGCAGCGGGGATACTCGTCACGTGTCTCAAACTGCACACAACCCACTATGTTCGTCGCAGTGAGTGTGGTAGCGGTGTCTTCCCAGATGGCCAACACGCATAGGTCATACTGCATCCCTGGCATCAGGTTGTTGACCAAGAAGGATTTGCTGATCACCGGAATCATCCTGTGAACAAGAAGACACAGACATTAACACTGACTCTCAAAGTTCAACAGAAGACAAATCATTAAGTAGATGCAGTAGATTGAAACCAGCAGTATATCATACTGAAGGTGGTTATTAAAATGCACATACTGATTGTTCATTGCTTTATTGTGGATACACATGATGCTCTGTGCTTTGGCAGAAAACAATCATTAATCCTTTTATTATGGTGAAAACTTAATTACTTGGAAAGCACTGATCATATCAACCTTGGAAGTTCATTTAGATGAAATTATTTTGAAATGAGGTCTATTGTGCAGTCAATGGAGCCAGAGATAAAAAGCAGTTGTTTTTGACTGACAGGAAGCAATGTGGGGATTACGTAAATATCACTATTTGAAAATGTACTTGACGCACATGCAACATTCCTGTCAACACTGAATCATTAAAACAGGCAAAGCATTTTTTTGAATGGTAATTAAGTAAATATTGTTTTGGAAAGGGGGAAACGATAAATGAATACAATTTTTCTTTTAGGTTTCTGAATTGGTTAAGACGATAGATCTGGCTTAATAAAAAAATATATTTCCTTAAGTTCATTTTATGTAGTACTCCAGCACTCGACCTCCTAAAAAGTACCTTGAGTACAGAGGGCATGTAATCACAAATTATATTTTTTTCTAACTGCATTAACTCATCATTATCTGGTACATTCTTTGCAGATACCTTGCTGTGGATGTAGACTGAGAATACTAATTAGAGTGCAATCATTTACCTAACTACCCTGCTCTGAGAAGGTTAAGTAGTTGAAAAGGAGTGATAGAAGTGTCTGAGGCTATTTTCAGAATCTCCGTACAGTTCGATTTTTTTCCGTGAACCGTTCCACCCCTATTAGAAAATGATCATTGAGGGGGCAATTACCATCATGGAAAACCAGGAAATCATAATCAAACATTATTTTGAAAGCATATTCCAAGGGTATAATCATACCCTTGGAATATGCTTGCAAAATGTAATTAAATCAATTATTCACATAGTCATATAGCATGGTACTTTAAAGAATGGTGTGGCATTACAGAGGTACCATGTCTAAATCATGTTGGTATATACCATTTTTAAACTTTTTTTTTTTTACTTTTTAAAAAGGGTAGACAAAGGGGACATCGAACAGAGTCTCTTCTTGGTTGGGTATGCAACGTATTGGTTGGGTATGTAATATGTAGTAAATATCGCTTTGTATAAATAATATGTACCTCGGACAGACTGACTTTTACTGTGCTGTATCAGTACTAAAGGAAATTTGCAGTGATCTGATCAGACGACAATCAGCTTTCAAACTCTGAAACTAAAAACAAATGTGACAGATGCACTGATAAACTGAAAAAGAGGCACATAATGTCAAGAAACATCATAGACAATTAGCAGATTAAGTTTGCAGATTTGATTATGACAACGAAATCTTCCTGTACTTTAGATTTGTATTTCTCCTCAGTGTAAAATATGTATGACAGGCTGTACTGTATTCTTCAGTTGTTCAGGAAAAATGCAGGGCGACAACACTAGAATTAACTTAAAAAAGTAAAAACGACAACAAAAGAAAAGAAAAATAACCTACAAAAATTCATTACATTTGCATTTCTTTTTTTTTTTTTCATTTCACCTGCTAAATTATGTAGTCCTGTCTCATGGGAACGTTTGGTCCAATGTGATGCACATCCACTTAGCTGAAGAAAATCCTCTTGGCAAACTGCAGTGCACAGTCGGATAAATTCTCTCTTTTATTCCCCCTGCTTTTCTGAGATACCCCCATATCCCTTGTTCTTGGGTATTTATTCATATCTGCTTTAATATTTGAAGGCAACTGGAGATATCCTTCGTCCAACTCTTAATAAACAGGACCAGCCCTGGCCTCGGCTCCTTGCCTAGCTCGGACACAAAACTTTGAACTTCTTTGTGATCAAATGATAAGAAGGACAATATTGACATGGAAAAATCATGCATTACACAGTCATGGTCACTGCTGAGGTGTCTTTTTATTACAACCATTTGAGTCCTTCTTGAGGTCATATGATGCAGCAAGTTCATATCCTTTTCACCAGACGAGTTCGGAGAATGGGTTGTTTTTTGTTCTTTTTTGGCGGAGCTAATCCGATATCCCTGTCAGACTGTACTTTCCATAACCCACTCAGAGCTATCAAACGGTGCCTTATCCCCTTCCCCCTCACTCTCGTCGCACTGCAGGAGCATACCGTTGACCGAGAGACTCCTCTTAGTCCAAATGTTGCTGATGCGTCGTGGGTAACTAAGGCACTGTGAAGCACCAAAGTCGCCCATGTCGAACGAGTGGCTGCGCTTGGGCTTGTTCTCTGATGGCAGCATTACAAGCTTCCCAAGCTTGGAATCTCCCTGGCCTAGCAGAGGTTCCTTGTCAGTGGGCGGTCTCATGCCCATCGCCATGGTCCCTGAAGAAAATGGTCCTACCGGATCTCTTGCGGGAACCCTCAGGTCCAGAGAAGCAAATGCCCCAAGCAGGTTATCCAGGTTTGGTCGTGCCTTAGTTGACGATTGCTTCCACCTGTTGGGCAAGGTGTTAGAATCCACATGTCGATTGTAAGACTCGACTTTCTCACTTCCAAGGGAGTCAGCCGAGGAGGATGAAGAGGACGAGATGCTACTCTGCAAGGAGCCACACTTAAACTCCACCACTTCATCTCGCATCACCACTACAGTCTTTGGAGCCTGCGGTGTAGGAGCGCCACCGTTGTTTAGTCGCTGTGTAGCCTGTGGTCTCCCATTGGTCTGGGAGTAGGTATTGCTCACCGTCACCAACTTTGCAACCTGCAAGCCACTGTTTACTTTATAGCGTACCATAAGGATGACGATAAAGACCAACAAAGTGGCTACGATCACTCCACCAATCACCAAGATCATGGTTCCTCCTAAAAACTGACTGTGCAGTGACTGGCAGCGGGGATACTCGTCACGTGTCTCAAACTGCACACAACCCACTATGTTCGTCGCAGTGAGTGTGGTAGCGGTGTCTTCCCAGATGGCCAACACGCATAGGTCATACTGCATCCCTGGCATCAGGTTGTTGACCAAGAAGGATTTGCTGATCACCGGAATCATCCTGTGAACAAGAAGACACAGACATTAACACTGACTCTCAAAGTTCAACAGAAGACAAATCATTAAGTAGATGCAGTAGATTGAAACCAGCAGTATATCATACTGAAGGTGGTTATTAAAATGCACATACTGATTGCTCATTGCTTTATTGTGGATGCACATGATGCTCTGTGCGTTGGCAGAAAACAATCATTAATCCTTTTATTATGGTGAAAACTTAATTACTTGGAAAGCACTGATCATATCAACCTTGGAAGTTCATTTAGATGAAATTATTTTGAAATGAGGTCTATTGTGCAGTCAATGGAGCCAGAGATAAAAAGCAGTTGTTTTTGACTGACAGGAAGCAATGTGGGGATTACGTAAATATCACTATTTGAAAATGTACTTGACGCACATGCAACATTCCTGTCAACACTGAATCATTAAAACTGGCAAAGCATTTTTTTGAATGGTAATTAAGTAAATATTGTTTTGGAAAGGGGGAAACGATAAATGAATACAATTTTTCTTTTAGGTTTCTGAATTGGTTAAGACGATAGATCTGGCTTAATAAAAAAATATATTTCCTTAAGTTCATTTTATGTAGTACTCCAGCACTCGACCTCCTAAAAAGTACCTTGAGTACAGAGGGCATGTAATCACAAATTATATTTTTTTCTAACTGCATTAACTCATCATTATCTGGTACATTCTTTGCAGATACCTTGCTGTGGATGTAGACTGAGAATACTAATTAGAGTGCAATCATTTACCTAACTACCCTGCTCTGAGAAGGTTAAGTAGTTGAAAAGGAGTGATAGAAGTGTCTGAGGCTATTTTCAGAATCTGGGCAAATAGAATAAAAAATGTACAATTATATATTTCACATTTTATTTTTTTTAAACCACAAGCAATAATAAGAGTAAAAATAAGATTAATATGTGTATATTTGTCACTGGGGTTCAATGCAAAATAAAACATAAAAATAGGAACCCAAAAATGAAAATTCTGTCATCATTTACCTACTTACTAACCCCTATGACTTTCTGCATTGCAACACGAAAGTAAATGACTGTTTTCCATTTTCTTTTTCATGCAGATTAGTGAACAAATCATTCTTTTGTGTCGGATCTTTTCAATTAATTAGCTTTCAGTGATCTAGTTTTCAGTTTATGTGATCCAGTTACAGCACATTTTCAGTTCTTGACAACATCTGCTTTGATGTATTTCACAACTTACACAAAGATATTGTAAGGATTCAGAAGACTTGGAATATAGTGCATAAGTCATATGGACAACTTTATGCTTTTGCATTCCCAGTCATTGCAAGTGCATGGACAAGAAAGACAAGCATAGTATTAAGACGTTCAGTTTTGTGTTAAAGGAAATGAAAAAGTAAAAGGGCAAGTAAATAAGACAACATTTTAATTTTTGGGGTGAACGAAAAAAAAAAGTTCTAGTGAGTTGATATGGTTCTTTATCTTATGCCTTTCCTAAAACTAGCACATCATGGGATCCCGTGTTTTGTGTTAGAGACATCCTTTACCACACTAAAACCACATCTAGCAGTGCAGCCTGACACATTGTCTACGGTAAGCCTCTATGCCAGCTAGTCCATTACTCATTCATAATTGCTTTCCCATCACAGGAGAAGACGCTACATTCAGTGGTGACAGCTTTACGAGAGAGCCCAACCTTTTTCCACTCGAGCATTGTGATTTATTTTTTTTTCTTTGTTGTTGCCAGCATCCAGGCTAACACTGCTCTTCCAAGACAGGAGGAAGAAAATAGATCTATGGATAATACCACATGCAGTTCACTAGCACGAAGTCATTAAAGGGGTCATGAACTGCAAAATCAAAAGTCCCTTGATTTTTTTATATATAAGAGGCGATTGTGCTATAAAAAACATTCTGGATGTTTCAGAACTCAAAACTTTCTTGTTAGTCTAACAACAACTTATATTGAACTCAATCTGCCAAAACAACAGGTTGTGGAATGTGCCACTTTATGACATACTGTAATCGTGTGGCTAAACATCTGTTTAGCCTCGCCCACTGAATAACGAACATAGTACAGTAGGTAAATGACAAGAGCGGTAAATGCAGGTCTACACAGAAACCAAATGATAAACTGTATTTTATTAACTTTATTTATATTTATAAGAAGATCCAGACCATGTCAGTAGGAAATTGGTCCTTTGTTCACTAAATTTTACTGCAAATTTGTTTACAAACAAGGCACAATTCGAAGCAGGATTTTCAGAAAGATTGAAACTAAAAGACGATGCTGTGACTACTATATTGGATCAAACCACACAAGTGTGAGTAACTGATCACTGTGATCACTATCTATGAAAGATGCAGGCTGTCAAACACACACCACCACTAGCCAATCATACCAGTGGGCGTTTACTTCCAAGTCTACAATCCGCCATACCTATTCAAACAAAGTGTTCCGAAGAGTGGGGTTAAAACAGGACAGAGAATACCCTATTGCTTCTAAATTATTTTATTTTTTTATTTTTTTTTCATGTAAAAAAACGTCCCAGGTTATGTATGTAACCATGGTTCCCCGGAGGAACGAGACGCTGCGTCGGAAAACGCTAGGGGAACCCCTTCAGCGATACCAAGCTCTGAATCATATGTGTAATCAGTCGAACGATGGGCGAGACGTCAGCGGCGGGTGACGTCATGACCAGGAAGCTTTAAAAGCACGTGAGGTGCAGCCGGCGTTAGCTTCTAGGAGTGAAGCAAGCTCTAGTAGGGATGCCGGAAGTATGACCTTGCGACGCAGCGTCTCATTCCTGGTACCCGGCTGGGGCTGCTCCCGCCCAGCAGCCCCCAGAGCTATGGAACGGCGAGGGAGAAACTGCTGGAATGCCGCCGCCTGTTTATGAGCCTCCTGGTATCTGTCGATGACAGAATTGACAGCATCGCCGAACAGACCAGAAGGCGCAAGCAGGGCATCCATAAGGCAGACCCTGTCCTTCTCTTTCATATCGGACAGGGTCAACCATAAATGCCTCTCCGCCGCCACCAGAGCTGCCATGGACCGCCCAATAGCACGGGCGGTCTCCTTGGTGGCGCGGAGAGCTAAATCAGCAGTTCTCCTCAATTCTAAAATGTCATCTGCCTTGACTTGCTCGCCTTCATCAAGCTCTTTTAGCAGGTCGGCTTGGTGCCGCTCCGCCTCGGCGGAAGCGGGGCCAGCACCGTGAGGAACACTGGTGAAGGCTACCTCCTCAAAGAGAGCCTCCCGGGAGCGAAGCAAACGCAGTGGCAACTGCTCACAATGCGGACAGTCGACCCCCTCGAGAGCCGACGCCGCGTGCTCCGCTCCCAAGCAGACCATGCACAAACTGTGTGTATCCCCGCTCGCTTTTCTTTTTTTATGATGTAGCGTGGGCAGCGAGAAACACACAGTCTATAACGCGATCTGCTTTCGCCCTTGTTTGTCTAAGGCAGTTCATAACCCCTTTAAGTAATAGAGAGGCACCAGAAAATGAACCGTCATACTCATTCTTTGTAGATTATATGTTTTTCACAAGTCAGGGAAACCAGATAGCCTAATGCTTATGCATAACCTTTCATATTTAGGCAGTTTGAAAGGGGAACCCATCACTTTGATTATAAACTGCTGTAGATAATGTAGATATAAAGAAAGAAGTAAGAGAAGTGAGCTGAAATTAAAATCAAAAGAATAAAGCATATTATAAAAGCTCCTGTTGCCTCAGGCTTCTAATGGTGATGATCATGATGGTTGTATCATGCAAAGAAAAAAAAGCCTAGAGGTAATAGGGATTTCTACACATTTTTTATTTCACACAGAGAAAATGTTGCATTCGATTAAAAGATGGAGAAACCAATCTTTCGACAACTAATAGAGGTTTATTTAAATAAAAAAAATGTGTGTGCCTTTTGACTGTAATACAAATTTTATTTATTTATTCATTCATTTATTCATTCATTAATTTATTTATTGTCTAAAAAACAGTCTACATACATATTGCTTATATTTTTAAGCATACAATCATACAAAGGTTTGCTTCTATTGCAAAGATATTTTGATTACACTTTATGTTACAGTATGTGTACTTAACAGTGTAATTACTGGGTAAGTACTGGGTATAAGGTAGCTACATGGGTTAAGTTAGGGGTTGGTTCAGGGTTAGTACAGTAGTTATTACCCAGTGATTGTAAGTGCTATAATAAGTACATAGGTGTAGAACAGGACTGTAAAATAAAGTGCAATATATTTATAGATATATTTTCTAGAAGAAAAAAAAAATACTAGCACATTTGTATTTATTTATTTACTTATTTATTTGTGTGTTTGCCTAAATACTCCACAGGCAAGGAGGAATATGGATTATCAAGTGCTGTTGGTGGGTTTTAGACATACAGTGGTGGACAAAATTATTAGACCACAAGTACTTTCACCAGCTAAAAAATGGTTTCTTTTGCTGTAGTGTGTCAGTAGGAAATATCAGTATACATTTCCAAACATTCATTTTGCCATTAATTGTAATAATCCAGTCAGATTTTTGTTTGCACAATGAGTCTGACAACAGCCAGTGCTCCACACAGAGATTTGATCTCATCATCATCCAGTCTGTCTGGAATGACATGAAGAAACAGAACAAACTGAGACAGACTAAATCCAGAAGAACTGTGGCAACGTCTCCAAGATGCTTCAAGAAACCTACCTGCAAACTACAGTACTGTTAAAAGTTTTAGGCCCTTGTGTAAAAATACTGAAAAATGAGGCTGCTGTCAAAAAAAAATTTCATCATAGATTATAAATTATAAATTGAATTATAAATTTCATAAATAGATTTTCTTTACCAATTAACTTCTACTAACTAAATTAAATCAACATTTGGTGTGACCATCCTTTGCATTTAAAGCAGCTTTTGCCCTAGATGCACTTGTGCATAGTTTTTCATGGTAGCTTTGCAGGTAGGTCTCTTGAAGCATCTTGGAGACGTTGCCACAGTTCTTCTGGATTTAGTCTGTCTCCGTTGGTTCTGTTTCTTCATGTTATTCCAGGCAGACTGGATAATGATGAGATCAGATCTCTGTGTGGAGCACTGGCTGTTGTCAGACTCCTTGTGCAAACAAAAATCTCACTGGATTATGTCAAAAAAAAATTTCATCATAGATTATAAATTATAAATTGAATTATAAATTTCATAAATAGATTTTCTTTACCAATTAACTTCTACTAACTAAATTAAATCAACATTTGGTGTGACCATCCTTTGCATTTAAAGCAGCTTTTGCCCTAGGTGCTCTCACGCATAGTTTTCCAGGTAGCTTTGCAGGTAGGTTTCTTGAAGCAGATTGGAGACGTTGCCACAGTTCTTCTGGATTTAGTCTGTCTCCGTTTGTTCTGTTTCTTCATGTTATTCCAGGCAGACTGGATAATGATGAGATCAGATCTCTGTGTGGAGCACTGGCTGTTGTCAGACTCCTTGTGCAAACAAAAATCTCACTGGATTATTACAATTAATGGCAAAATGAATGTTTGGAAATGTAAACTGATATTTCCTACTCACACACTACAGCAAAACATAGAAATAACTGACTTAAAACCATTTTTTAGCTGGTGAAAATTGTAGTGTTCTAATAATTTTGGCCACCATTGTACATAATTTGTAGGTAACTGATTCAGTAAAGGGTAAGTGTGCCATTATTGTCTTAGCTATTACACTCACAGAACACCATTAACACATTTGAGATAGGCCTACATATGTATGTGAGTGGTCGATTAAAAAAGATACAAAAACAATGTCTAACATAACTCTTAGCATAAGTGAGTCACCTTTTAAATGTCGCTATAGTTACTATCTTCAGTGTTAACCTATTAAACATTATCTGCTTAAATGAACTGAATTCAGTTAACTTACAAGACTGAATTGAGTTATAGAATACATCATTTATCTTTAAATCTAATGATAATTTCCAGAAATATTAAGAGAGAAAATAAAGTGGAGGTGAAAGCACAAGCCTAATTAGTGTGTAGTTGGGTGGTTTAAAGGAAAATAAACATGGAATACTTACCTATAAATCAGGACATCATCCTCTGAACAGTTGTATTGGAGCTGGTACATTTTGACTTTGGGTGCCACTTTGCTTACTGTCCACTTGATCAGAGCAGAGACTGCAGTGACCTCTGACACTGACACTACCTGTTCTGGTTGGGCTTTGGTCTCCCCTTTACTGGTTTTAGTGGAGCTGGTGATGTCAGACAGCCTGGACTTTGGCTGAGATGTGCGGTTAGTTCCATTGCTTAGGTGGGGGAGTTGGATGATGGAGAGCTCAATTGAGGCTGTTGATTCTCCTGCTGCGTTTGCAGCAATGCAAGTAAATGTCCCATAATCCTTAGAGGTGGTGACCATAATGTCTAAAGTACCATTTTCATACACTGTAGCCCTGGATGAGTTACTAATTAGTCGGTCATCTGGAGCAACCCAGTGTATGAGAGGCATAGGGTCTCCCACTGCCTTGCAGCGTAAACTGGCCGTCTGTCCCTCCAGGACCAAAAGCTTATGGGTATGTTGGGTAATTAACGGTGGTTCACACACAAACTCTTCCTCTCGCACATACCAGAAGTAGCGACCTTTCAGACTAGGAGGGGAGGCGCATGTTTCCATATCGTCCTCCCGTTCTAAACGGCGCAACCAAAGAATCTCACAGTTACAGTGAAGAGGATTCCCGCCAAAGCTGAGAGACAAGACCGGGGCAAACGGTGTACTAAGAACGCTGCTGATCTGTGACCGAGCAAAGATGGGATCTGGCGGAAGCTTCTGGAGACGGTTTGATGTAAGATCCAGCCTGGCCAGCTTTTCAAGATCAATAAAAGTGCCTTCAGCGATGTGGCTGATGAGGTTGTGGTCCAGACTCAGCTGGTGTAGGTTGAGCATTTTCCGAATGGCCTCCCAGGGTATGCCTCGCAGGTTGTTGTAGGAGAGGTCTAGGTCCTCTAAGGTGAGCAGCAGGTCATCGAAAGCTTCTTTGGAGATACGAGTCAGTTGGTTGTTGTTTAGGATGAGGTGTTGCAAGTTCACTAAGCCTCGCAGGACATCTGGGCCCAGCTCTGTCAACCGGTTACTGTCCAGGTGCAGCGAACGCAAGGTTTCAAGATCCACAAAGGAGAAGGGCTGGATGAAGCTGATGGTGTTTCGTGACAGTGTGAGGTCCACAAGGCCCGTCATGTTGGTGAAGTCCTGCTGGGTAATTTTGATAATGTAGTTTCCTCCCAGGCGTAACTCAACGGTTCTTCTGTCAATGTCAGAGGGCACGAACAGCAGACCTTTGGATGGGCACAGTGTGCCCAAGGACTCTGATAGGTTCTGACAAACACAATATTTAGGGCAGGCTGTGGTCATCATCACTGCGCTTCCCAGGAGAAGGAGGCTGCAGAGCACTTTGGCCATGGTAAATCACAAGCAGGGACCTGGATAGACAACAAGAAAAAAAACAAAAAAAAACAATGGTCAGTCCTTTCCGGCCATACAAACAACAAATTATTTATCGCCTCTGCAAGGGCTATCTGATAAAAATAGTCCTCCTTTTGAGCAAATTTTAGTCCTCATTATGAACCAGCTTAGACTATTAGAGGCTCTTTTTGCAATCCTCATACTCCTGTCAGAGCATTGAAAAGATACTGAGGTACAAAATATGTTTTATAGTTGCCGGAAGCAAGAGTGTTTGACGTTATGTCCGTATGTAAATTCCGCAGTAGGCTCCATATCTCTGACACAGAGAGAACGGATGACTGCGCTTGCCCTCAAACGACAGCCCATAATTCCTGTAGATATTTGTATCATCAATTCCAAATATACTCAAAACTTAAATCAATTTTAATCAGTGCTCTGCCAGACTGAGTCTAATGGTAGGGCAGGGTTGGTGGAACTGTTTTAGGTGCTTGCAAGAAGGAGAAGGGGTGATTTTCATTTCCAGGCGAGAATTAAAGGATAATAATTCTCTCAGCTGGCAGCACTCGTACAATAAATCATCATTGCCTCATCGATACCGTAAATTCCTATAAACCCCAGTACACAGAGTTCAGGATTCCAAAATTATGAGCAACAGCTTATGAGTTTTCAAGCACATCTTGCTTGCTAGCCTCAAGTTTATTGCATATATCAATATAGCTCCAAGGTGAAAGCATGCAGATCTGAGTGTTTGTAGAAAACTTGGGGGAAGTCATGGCCTAATGGTTAGAGAGTTGGACTCGTAACCCAAAGGTTGCGAGTTCGAGTCTCGTACCGGCAGACATTGGAAACTAGACTGCAACTCATCTTAGAAAATCAGCAAGATTTTTATGAAGCGTAATATTGTGATTACCCTAACCATGTAATCAAAATTGCCTGCAACAAAATAAATAAATTGTTGCATACAGGGGATGGATATTTCATTGCCAATTTGACAGACATGCAATCAGCTTTTGGTAATGCCAGATATTTATGCCAGGGCTGCGTTTTGCTAGAAAGCAAATAGCAGAATTACCATAACATGTCAGGCAATTTTGTTTCTCAGCTATTACAAAAACCCTGAAGACTACTAGCACATTAACAAACAATGACTTCTGGTTTTAAAGTCTGGAGAAATGCAATATTTAAAATTGTACAAACGTTTTGAAATGTGGAAAGAAACTAGTAGGAAATTTCCCAGTAAACTGAAAATGTGATACACCTAATTTTCTAGTCTATAGTCATTTTACGCTGAAACAGACATCTTGCAGAGAATACAAATTGTGATGTTTTCTGGAACATATTTTCTTTACTTCCCCTCTGAGCATATTCCCCAACTATCTATTACTCATTCTCATCATTTCATTCTCAGGAAATCAGATTTTACAATTTTATGAAAGAGCAAAAATCAAAAAAATACATATTGGTCCAGCATAGGTAAACAGTGCAGAAGAACACAAATTCCATCTTAATAAAGACAGGAGGAAGAATGTTTAACCATAGGCATTTGCAACATTTCATTACTGTCATGTTGGTTGGAATTTATGGGCACCCCATATTCGATTCGATTAAATATACCCTATGCGGAATACAACTCAATTTCAATGTTCATTCAGGACTCACACTGCATAGCAGTGCAAAGTTATAAGAAGTGTTCTTGGGACAAGGGGATATTTGTCATTTTTGACAGCTAAAACCTGATTAGGCTGAATACAGTTGAAGCTTGCCCTTTAGCAGGCCTGTATTTCTGAGGTAAGTTTCCTGCATTAACAATTCTCTTATAACTGCTTGTCAAGCCTCATCTTTATTCATTCCCTTTGCAGCCTGCTAATGGCACAGCCATCAAACACATATATAACAGTTGCTGAGGAACACAGCCCTCAAGAACATTGCACATATCTGCATTTCATCCAAATCAGACAGAAAAGGACGGAATGGCGGAGTGGAAAGGAATTTGCTTCACTTTATCAAATGAGCCAAACATCTCGGCTCGTTTGTTGGAGGGAGCGTTTAAATGAGCTAGCCTGGTCGCTGCTAACTTCAAGCAAATCAACAAAAAGAGATCTAAGGATTCAGAAAAATCATATAACTCTCTTTTTTTGTCAGTTCAGCAGACATTAAGGCCAAAGAATCATAACTTTAGTAAATGAAAGCGTGTAAGAGCACATCAAAAAGTCTTTTATCAAGTGAAGGAGAAGGTGCCCATGAGACAGCAGGATGTGACAAACTACAGAGACGACTAAACATCCAAAGGCGAGGTAAAAGCTTAGGCTTCGCAATCATACAGTGCTGAAGCGCAAGATGAAGGTAGAGCTGCCATGAAATGGAGGGCCATTTATTGGAGATCCGGGGGAGAACTCCCCAGTGCAGATGCCTGATTGGACATGGCCTAACCATTATGACAGCTGGAAGTCAGTTTGACAGCGCTGCTCTGAAATCCTCATGACGTCTGACTGCAAGATGGATTCCGCAACTGGCATAATATTTGTGCAATGGTCTAAGAAATGTATTTATTTATTTATTTTTACAGTACACAACCATCTTCTACTTTATCATACCATTTAAATATAATAAAAATGCAATGATGGAGTTTCTTCATTTTCTTCCTCTTCTTATATATGTCAAATGCAGAGTTTTCAGTTTGATAAATTAACAGTTGTTCTCAAGTACATTTCTGTTTTTTTTTTTTTTGTTAAATTGTTAAGCCAAAAAATATGGCTTCTTCATAGGACATTTAAGGTATATGCATATGTATATGTATGTGACAATGCATGTATGAATAAAACTTTACAGCGTTTTTAGCTTAAATCTTTTAAATTGACATGACATGTAGCCAAATATGGTGTCCCATACTCAGAATTAGTGCTCTGCATTTAACCCATCCAAGTGCACACACACACACACAGCAGTGAGTAGTGAACACACACTCCCCCCACCTACAATCCCTGCCGGTACAGTGACTCGAACCCATGACCTTTGGGTTACAATGCAGACTCTCTAACCATTAGGCCACAACTGCCCCACATAATCATGCGAATTACCCAGATGCTCTCCGACAACACTCTAAAATTGTGCAGAATGAAATCCCAAGTGAAGAAACACATACATTTCTTGTGAAATCAACATGTACAAGCACGCCAAGTTTATGACGTAATCATTCTTTTCACACAATGTCTTGGTCTACTTAAAGTTCAGGCTTCTTCTTGTACATCATTGCAGGTTTATGAAAATCATTTCATTATACAATAAATGCCATGCTGCCTTTACGCTCTGCCAATAATGTTTTTAACTCAACACTTCTGTGCTCTTTTAAAAGTCACTACTCTTTTTCGCAAAACACATTTGTTGACAAATGGAACAAGAACAGTATGGCATTGGAGAGAAGGTTATTAGAGAATGGTCTCCTTCAGTAGAGTAAAGAAGAAAACTTTCATTTGAGTCACAGAGGGATTGTGAATTGAGCTGTGTTTGAAACATAACAGTTTATTTAATGGCATCATTCTTCATAAAATTAAGAGAAAATTAGAGTAGTGTAGCAGACATACACATTTTGGTGTCAAAATTTAAGAAAAAAAAAGTAAAGGTGTCTACACTATAACTATGTTGCATTAAGTTTTTGACTTCAATCACACAAATATTAAGGTTTTTGGATGTGTTATGACTAGAAAAGCTCTAGGGTTGACAGAGGGGCTAATGGATTGCTTTTGGTCTACATGTACTAGCTAGCCTCCATTCCACCAGAGATTATTGTCAGAACAATTCAGTGCACTGTTTCCACCAGAGACATGAAAGCTGGAGGAAGCTTGGTGTTACCTGAGGTAATCTATGCTCAGAAGCTCTGGAGATAATGGGTAATTCTTTGTGAAGTATGAGCAAACTACTGTAAGTAGCTTTTGGGGTGAACGTCTTAGTGCAGTGAATACCTTTTCATTCTCCACAGCTCAAAAGTCTTTGGCAGAATTTCACAGTTAGAAATAAGTTTCACATAATTGCATGAATCCATGCGCTCTATGAAGACAGCTTTGAACTAGTTGGATCTGCTTGGAAGCTTTTTTGCAGTACTTCTATGTCTCATTTATTAAAAAGCTACACAAAAACTATAGGCTATTACTTAGAATTGTACAGCAATACTTCACACAAAACTGAAAATTGTATAAGAGAAGATATATTCAAGAACTTACTACACTTATATATAAAGCTCAAAACACATACACATACATCTGCAAACAACTTCAGTTTTCTGAGCCCCTTTACTGACTGCAGAATTATTGTTATTACTGTGGATTTTATTACTTTTATTACTTGTTTTTTATTATTATTATAGATTTTTTTTTAAATACAACACAATATACATTAAGTCTTTCAAAGTTGTTATAGTATTATTGACAGAGATAATTCTGTAAGTTTTATCTTAAGTTAAAATGTTTACTTTCACATCATAGCTAATATAGCAACCAGTCCAAAGTAGTAGCAGTGTCTAAATAATAAATACTAAATAGTGCAGCTTTTAATCTTTTAAACAGTGCAACTTTTATTATTCTAATGAAGATTGCTTGCTCGTGTGAGAGAGAGGTAAAACAGAATAGGTTCTCTCCCCAGCACTTCCATTTGATTCTCTCAGGTCATTTGGGCAATAATTCACACACATCGCCTTATATAAATCCATATCCAGAAACTTGACCCATCATATTTTACTCTCAACCACCATTCACTCCAACAGCAAATCCTCATCCCCTCAGACATCTCATCTTTAGCACACTGGCGTTCTATCTCAGCGTTGCCATGCAAATGGTCTTCTTGCCCCTTGCTTTCATTTATTCCCTGTGCCAGCATCTTTCATAACAAGTGCACAACAGAAAAGGTCAGATTTATTAAAAGCTCTCTCTATATATATATTCACCCTCCCTCTCTTCTTCTATCAGTGTAGTCACATCCACGGCTGCTAATCATTTTCGCATTTACACACAAACATCCTGTGCAG